CTGACTCCTACTATCATGCTCTTTCTTTTCAAGAGTCAAGTCAAACCAAAAATGGAGTATTGCTGCGATATCTGGACTGGATCTTTGACAGAGTTCAGAAGCTATTACGCGGCCGATTAATTATTTTCCACGCTAGTACCCAAATATTTATAATAAAAAAATAATGACGTCCGAGGAGAAATTTGAAGAATATAAATGCTTTCCTTTACTAACAAAGTATAGAAATGTGTTACTCGCCTTCTCCTCAACCCTGAAAAGGAAAACTAAGGGATGTTACAAAAGGGTTTCTTTACTCACAGGTGCAAGACGTTTTGTTGCAGAAGTTTGTCGTTACTCACATAGCCTTTATTTTATCTTGCCTCAACAGCGGCTATTCGAAAACTGTCTTCGCTGTTCAGACGTGGTTCTGTTGGTTAGCAGTTGAGGGTCACATGAGCCTCGTGGCTCAACTGGTGAATACTAGTTTGGAAAAAGGAAGGAAGCTTAACCCAGCAAAGCAAACCAATTGGATATGCACAAGCCAAGAGCCGTGCTAGATAATGGAAAAATAAAATTGCATTTCGTTTTTATCATTTCACCCCAAGCAAGGCATCCACTAAGATCCAGGGGCTACTGAGTGTGAGAGAATATGAGAAAGAAAACCCTATTAAGGAGCAAGAACAATAAAAGATAACTGTTGACATTGCATTTACATTTTTTGATCAATGTGGGCGGGAAAGCAAAAAGCTGGAAGAGTGTTCCACAAACGAGAAGTGCAAGAGAAGAAACTGTTAGCATAGAACTTACGGTTACATCTAGCCATTTCGAATGTAAAATGATGAGACTTGGCCACCAGTCTAGTACTGCGTTTAAATTCATAAAATATGGGTTACCAAAGAAAAAGCGTCATCAGAACAATTTTCACGAAAATATTTATAGAAAAGGCACAGAGAAGCTACGTTACAGCAGTTGGAAACTGATTGAAGCCGAGATGCGAGGTCAGAACCAATAACATTGCAGATTGTTCTCTGTGTCTTTTCAAGAATCTCTAAATTCATAGCAAAAGCGCCAGACCAGATGTAACAGAAATTTTCAATGCCTGGACGAATGGTGGACTTAAAAATGTGTAACATAGATTCTGACGAGAATTGTCTAGCACGTCCCAATGAACCAAGTTTCTTAACAGTAGACCTAAAAATTGATTCAATATAATCTTTCCACTTTATGTCAGCAGAAAACGTTAGCCCGAGAAGTCGCAAGGACTCAATCCTCAGAAGGCTATCATCAGGCATCCTGATGAAAAACAGAAAAGGTTCTCTCGGGCGATTAAAAGTAGGTACCTTCACAGAAACGCGATACCTAAGGTTCAAAATTAATTTTAAAAATGAAAAATCTTTCTTGAAGGTTTTATTTTAGTTTTAATTTCAAGCTAATAGATTAAATTTAATATTTCCAATAAGCAAAATACTTTGCTGCATTTCAAAATTAATTTAAATTGACTGGAAGGAGTTTTTGTTTTGAAAGAGCTAAAAATCGATGATTTTAGTGCCATTTTAACCATCTGTCATCACAATATAATTCTTTTTATCAAAAAATCCTTCAAAAATAAAATATACTTTTCTGAAACTTTATTTGAAGAATATTAGCTGATTTAAAGTTTAATTAATCTGATTTGAAACAAATATTACTTTTAGCTTAAAATATCCCAGAAATGCATTTTTAACACGGAGGTAGGTGTTTATTTAATGTGTCGACAGGTTGATAGCCACTTCTGAGAGAGGAAAAAGTTCTTTTTTTTTCCATTTTCACATAAAGCTTGTAAAATTTACTTGAGGAATATAACGTGAGCGCATTTTTTTTATATAATTTTAAACTACCTAGTAATCTTAAAACATTAGGAAAATATTCTCTGTAATCTAAAAATATTTGTTGAATTTTAATACTTTTGGATTTTGGTGTTACTACAGGTATAGAAACGTTATTTTATATAATGTTTGCGAGATTTATGTCCATATTTACAAAAACATAAATACATAAAAATATCAAATTTCTTTTTAAAATATTGAGGGTCGCTGAATTGTTTTGAATTTTAGTTTTTTTCATTTATATTATTATTTAAATATTTTAAAAATAACAGTATTATTTCATACACAAAAATTAATACAGAAATATTAAAAATTTGAAACTTTATAAATTTTTTTTTTTTTGAATGAAAGCAATTATCGTAAAATTCATTATTCATCGAGAATTTTTTTTAACATAGAAAAAACTACTGTCAGCATATATAATAAAATGGAATATTACTTTAAATAATAATATATATATATAAATATTTATATATATATATATATATGATATATATATATATTATATATAAATATATATTGATGCTCCATATAATAATATTTAATTTTATTCATCAAAGCCTGTTCTAATAAAAATAACCTCAGGTTTATATATATATATATATATATATATATATATATATATATATATATATATATTATATATTATTATTATTATTATTATTATTATTGAATTATTGTTATTTTATTTCAGAGTAGATTTTCGGTAATTGATGGTCCTGTTTTACAAAAAAAATAAAAAATGAGATTTAAATTCTCCAAACATTAAGTGGTACAAAAATTAATTTATCGAAATTTCATCGAAAGAAAGACACTAAAATTTCCTATACTAATCTTTGGTTCCTCAACTGACGCAAGAAAAACAAGATTTTTAACCAACATTTTGAACGTACTACAATGGATAAAAAATATAATTTAATAATCAAAAAGTCCTTTGGTCTTTTCTCATATTGATAACATACAGATTTTGACGAAAAAACTTTGTTTATATTAAGTTTGTGGCATTTTTTCATCATCGTATGCCCATTTTTTAACGAATCTGAGAGGTAAAGAATTAAAAGAGATCGTAAATTTTTATTTTGAGGCATTAAGCCCAAACACTTGCCCCAGACGGTCAACAGATTGATGTAGTCGAATTTTTTTAGCTCAGTCGCCAATTTTACCTTATCGAACCGATCAGACTTACATAAACTTATTGACTTGTTTTTTACGACTTATCAACATTTTGTAGGTTATTTAAAGCCGAAACATATTTTTAGATTTTTTTTTTTTTTTTTTTTTTTGCGAGTGAATATAGTATAAACAATTTTTAGGAGATAAAAATGATTTTCAGGTACAAGTCCTACTATTTAACCCATAGCTGGGGAGAGAGAAAAAAGTAAATTTTCATAAAGTGGCTGATGGTTATTTAATCAATAAGGCATCAAACAAAGACCGGTTTTAAATGAAAAATTTTTCCAATTTTTCAGTACGAGCCTTCATCCATTAAATTGTGCATATCCAAGATAAAGATATTCCCAAATGAACACCCATGAGGGATCTTGTTCCTGAACAGTTTTAAAACTTCTGCCTGAACTCCTGGGTCAAAATTCGCAAATAATTTGTTGTAATTAATAAAGCTTTAAAGGTAGATATAAAAATAGTTAAAAGAAGACAATTACCCATCGTTCAACGTGTAAAGCAAAACGTCATCCCAGAAATTCTCAAATCAAAACTTGTAGAATCAGATTCCTACATTTTTTTTTTAAATCTTAAATTTTGTGCAAGTTAAACACATAGAGGCTCCCAACCAGATATAACAACTGATGTATTTTGATTGGTTGTAAAATATTAATTAGGTGTCGTCAACTACGTCCGAAGGTACCGACCCAAATTTTGACCTCTAATTGACGCCATAAAATGTAAACATGTTTACGAGCATCCCCACGTGATCAAAGGGTTAATCATTTAATAGCCATTTATAAAACATGAAAATATCACTTTCACCTTTACCAGTAATGACAATCTATCGTTTACATATATAGATTTTGCTTGGCACTGCTTTTACTCGAATTAGAAGTAGTTTACGCAACAGTACACAGCAATATTTCATTTTAAAATAAAGTATAATAAATTCTCTATTTTTCATTGCCCCAAAAGACTAAAGAGATTATCTGGAACTGTAAAATGTAAAAATAATGCATGACTAGTTTTGTCCATGCGGCAAAAATTAGCTACATTGAATTTTAAAATGATTGAAGTTTACATGATTTTTACTGCAAAGGTTGCAAGTCTCGCAATGTCCATTTAAATTAGTAAATTTTGTGATTTTTAAATCAAGTTTTGTAGGGGAAATCGGTGTATGTTTAGGAGAGTTAGTTAAAATCGATAAAACCCAAAAACCGATACGCCCAGATTGCGTCTGAACAACATGTCGGTTTTAGCAAAACCGAGCGGATTTATGAAGTTGTGTCACCATGTGAAATTTCAACTCTGAGCACCCCCCAAACAGAGTGAAACGACAATCGGTCAACCCTTAAAATGTTTTTCCGTTTTTTCAAGCTGATGTTTGTTTTATTTTGTTTATAACAGATTTATTTAATGGTTAGGATAGAGCTTAGAAAAAATTCCAGTATGAATAAAAAAAGAGGTATGTAGCAACATCCATTTTGAAAGGCACCCCTCTAAAGGAAAAATGGCAAAATTTTCAAGTCATATTTATTAAAAATCAAATTTGTAACGCCGGGCCATGCTGCTAGTTTATTTGTGGCCTAATAGTTTATTCTTGGTACAAATAATAGAATTATTTTATTAAGAGAAAAAAGACATTAATTTTGCTTCGTTCTCATGTAAAAGTTAACAACATGGTAATAGTTTTCTTACTTGATGCTTCTTACTCGTGGCCTTGTGCCAAACTAAGTTAAGCTTAATAGTCTTATTTTTATTTGCTTCTTGCGACTGCTGCTAAATTGTAATTAGCAATTTTGATTTGTTGTTTTAGTGACACTTCTTCCTTTCTTTTATTCCTCTCTCTCTTTTTATTTTCCTGCTCTCCTCTTTTTCTCTTCATCTCTTTGTCTATACTCTTCTCCTTTCTCTTCTCTCTTTCCCCTTTTGCTTCTTTTATGCAACTCTCCTTCTTTATTCATCATCTCTTTCTCCCCTTTTCCTTCTTTAATGCTTTGCCTTGGCTTCCTCTTCTCCCTACCTTATCACATTCCTCCTCCTCTTCTCTTTCCGCTTCTTTTCCCCCTTCTCTTCTGGCGCCTTCCTTTTCTTTTCTTTTTTTTTCTCTTTTTCTATCCTTTCCCTCGACTCCTTTGTCTTCACTTTTATTTCTTCTTCTTTTCCCTTTTGCTTTCCTCCCCACTTTTTCTTTCCTTTTCTGTTTCTCTTTCTTCTCTCCTTCCGTTTTCCTTCATTTTCTTCTTCCTCTTCTTCTGCGTTCCTTTCTCTCCTCTTCGTCTTCTTTTCCTCTTTCCTTCCTCCCCACCTCCTTTTATTCCACCCCCTCCTCTCTTCTCCCTTTTCTTCTTTCCTTTATTTTTTTTTCCTACTTTCCTTCTTCATTTCTTTTTGCCTTCCTGTTCCCTTGCTTTCGTTTATTTTCTCTTTCTTTCCTTCATCCCCACCTCCTCCCTTTTCCCCCTCATCTCCTCCTGTTCCTCTTCTTTCCTTTATCTTCTCCTATTTTTCTTCCTATCTTTCTTCCTTTCTATTCCTTTGTTTTCATTTGTCTTGAAGTTCTTTCTTTCTCCTCCTCTCATTCCTCTTCTCCTACTCTCATTTCTCCCCTCCTGTCACTCTCCTCCTCCTTCTTCTTCTTTCCTTTATCTTCTACTTTCTTTCGTCTTCTCTTTCTGCCTTCCTATTCCCTTGCTTTCCTTGCTTTCCTTTCTTTCTTTCTTTCTTTCTTTCTTTCTTTCTTTCTTTCTTTCTTTCTTCTCCTTCTCCTCCTCCTCCATTCATCTTTTCAATCCCCACTTCTGCTCCTTCCTCCCCATCATTCCTTCTCCTCCCGTTCACCTCCTCCTCCTCCTCTTCTCCTTCTTTCTCTTATCTTTTACTGCTTTCCTTCCTCTTCCTTCGTGCTGGTAACTTTGTTTATTATGGTTGCTACTAGAAAAAAAAATGATCGTTGCTGTTGTCATCTGTTGTGCTTGTTGTTAATGTTTAACTCTGCTCTCCGGTGTTTGTCCACAATATTTCTTCTGACCTTCACATTCGAGAAAACCAGGAGATTTTGGGACATTTTCTTTTTAAGCGCTTCCTTCTTCGATAAAATCAAAAATGAAAAAGAAAACGTTTTTACAAAACCGGTGACATTTTGCCTTGAAATTTCTTAAATTGTGCCTTTTTTTTATGAGAAAGAAACGAAGAAAAATTATTTCATTTTTACTGATGAAGAATACTAGGAAGAATGAAGAAAATATAAAAGACGTAAAGAATGGGAAATGAAAAACGAATGTTTACCTCCTCTTTTATCGTTAAAGAAGAAGTATTACCGGCTTTTACCGAATTTGTAGCAGTTAAAGGTGATTTTTAAACTTTTTTAAAAACTTTTAAAAAACTTTATTTTCTTTTTTCTTTATTTTGTTCCGTTTTACTTTTATGTTTCTTATAATTAATTTATTTACGATGAATGATACGCAATAGTATTTTCTTCTGTCTTTTTAAAATTTTTATGAATGAAGACTTCATTCATAAAAACTTCATTATGAAGTTGATGTTAATTTTTTTGAATTTAAATTTGATCTTTTTTTCTCTTGATGTTTTTCTACTTCAGAATTTTTTATCTTCATAGTTTTTTTTTTCGAAACCACAAAAACATGATTTGTAACCATAAAATTATTTTTATTTTTTAATGTGGAAGAAAATTAACAGACAAAATAAAAAGAAATTTATATTCAACAAGAAGTGTGACGAATTCAGTATTTTTATCATCATTCAAAAAACATTCATTCATAAGGAATTATTACTCATTTAAAACGTTATTTTTTTTTACTTTGTTTACATTACAATTCATTTAATTTTAATTCAACAATATGATTTCAATTTCAAATAGGTATCTTCAAATATAGTTCACTAAAAATTAGCATACCCTGATGAAAAAAGGCCCCCCAAAAATTGATTTAAAAATCTTTTATCGTCTATGTTTATGTTTTTAAGGAAATAAAGTATTTTCTGAATATTTTTTTTATATTTTTTAAATCCTTCCTATCACGTCCAAAATTTTATTTAAAGATCTTCAAAAAAAATTTTTTTCAAACCCTTTCATTGAAATATTGAAAAAAAAAAGGAATATTTATTAATGAAATAACGAATGGTGGTTTTCTAAGCGTAGCTTTTAATTCATTTAAGTTAAATGAGATACAAGGCAGAATTTATGGGAGCACCCAGTGAGGATCGAACTCACATCTGAACTGATTTAAAACGAAAGTTTACACACCACATCGAAGCGCCTTAAATGAAATAACGAATGATTTTTAAAATTTTTTTACTTTTCTTTTTTCAGTCATTAAAAAGATTTGTTTTTGTTTTACTTACAAAAATATTTTTAATAAAGATTTAAAATAAAAATTATTGTGATTAAAAAATATAAATATTTTTTTCTTTTCTTCTTTCAAAAAAAAAAAAACTAAGTTGTCAATTAAACTTTGATTTGGCAACATTTTCTTTGTTAATTTTGAAATCTCTAAGTCAGAAACTTTAAGTCATAAATGAAATGTTCATTTCAATGCGATTCAAATTCAACGAATTAAATGTCAACCATTAATTTCTTTATATATTTTTTATTTTCAATAAATTTAAATTTGCGTATTTTAAATCTGACGTTCCTGAAGTTAAAAAAATGTTTTTGTTTAATTATCCACTAGATTGCAATGGTACCATTATTTTATTGTTATATAATAAATATATTTTCTATCTAATTTTAGTCACATGTGTGTGGAAGGAAATAAACTGACTTTTGTGAGTGATAATAATTATTATTATTATTTTAGGAAAGATGTTAATTAAAAAAAACATGTTTTAGCGGAGAGAGAGAGTTGTCAAAAACAAAAAGCTTTTATCATCTGTAAAACATCAAAAAATATTATTGTTAAAACGAATTAATGAGTCAATTACCTTTATAAATTCTTCTTAATAATAATTTTTTCCTTGTGTAAACTTGACAAATTCAAATTTTTAATAAAATTAATACTCGATAGACAAAAATAGATGGACAATATGAAAGCTTGATTTAATTCCCTTAGTTTCTGTATTTGGGGGTCTGAAGAATCATCGTCTCTATTGTTTTTTTTTACCAACGTCTACAGAAGCAAGAAGAATTTTATTAACAAAAATTGTCCTTTTTATTTATGTACTTTGAAAATCAATAATGGCTAATAAAGGGTCTGTACTTTCTTTTTTCCTTCATTCATTCAATTTTAAAGAAAATCTCAGATCAGAAATCCATGCAAATAAAAAATCAAATACTGATCTGATCATAAAGGGTTTTTTTCTGAATCAATTCCTCCCATGCAAGGCGATAACGTTGCTAAGACGCAAAGGCTTCTGGGAGTGAAAGAGAAAGAAAAAAAAACTTTTTAGATTAAGGAACCGGAAACCCAATCCCAAACAAACCTGTTGCAGTTTTATCCTAAAGTTCAACATGAAAGCATATTTTTAAAATAAAGCCATCAAGTTTTTTATCATGTCAAGCAAGATCTTTTTCCCATTAAGATTCACTCTGAAAGTAATGCCATCTATTTCATGTCATCAGAAGTAGATATTTATAGTATGGCCTTTTCTGCTAATAGCCCATAATATTTTACCTTGTTAACAGATAGCAGCTGTCTGGCAAAATAGCATCTGACATGACAGCATACAATGATTAAGTTAGGTTGGTTAATTTAATAACATATTAAGCCTTGCTGGATTATTTAATGTTGAATTTAAATCTTATAGACCCCAAATCACAAATGAATAGCTGCACACCAGTCCAGTTTACACAAACGGTAAAAATTGGTTCAGTTTATACCCAAGTTTCTATGTATCCAGCTAGAAAGTGGTTCCATTTGAAGAGGTTTTTACTACCTCTGCAAGAGATGTAGTTAGCATATTCTACTAAGTCTTGCAAACAGAGCAAGTGTGGACAAAGCAGAAGTGTCAATGCTTGCTGAATGTTTACAGAGACCAAACAATGGATGTAAACCTAGGTTGTGGGGTAATTTTTTCAAAGAAATGATGACATTGATATATTTGACAAGCCACATTTCTGATATCCCTGTACAGTGGTCAACCCACAAAATTAAAGAGTACCTTGATAATGGCAGTGATTGTGGATAAATAGTGTTTTGTGCTCCTCATATCTGTCAAAATTATTCTTGGAAATAAATAGGAGTCATTAGTTTCAGAGAAGCCCCCATACTTACACTTGAGCTCTGCAAATTTTCAAAGAAATTCCTTTCTTAACACTTCATAATTTATTTACACTATTTGGACTTTTGTTCTCATCTTTGTTGTTTTTACCACAACATTTTGGCTGTTGTGCCCTCCAGCCTTCCTCAGGTGGATATTGATCAGGGGTAACCTACAGAAAATTCCAAAACTGAACCCTTTATTTAATCTATGTTCTTGTTCCACTGTCCATATCTAAGGATATCTCATTTTCTTGTTTTATTTAATACTGTACAGCTATTGCTTGCCTATTTCCAATGAGTGCAAGTACTCACTGCCCAACTTAGTTGAACACACAACTACTATATCACCAAATTCACAAACCAGCACTTTTATCCACTAGGCCATTGTCTCAATTTGCTGGAGTAAACTTAGAGCCTTAAACCTAACCTAGCTGCTGATTAGGTTGCATCTACTGCTGTATATCATGTTTTGACTGCAGTTGAAAACTTGCTGTCATTTGTCTTTCTTTATTAATGGCTCCTATATTGTATTTATTCCTATACTAGGCCTACTAAGGAGATCCTCCTAGCTTAGTATATCTGCTGATTCTTTCTTCTTTAATTTATTACCTTTTTTAGTAATTGTATTTATTCATAATGTAAGTATTTATTAATCTCAAGCTTGCTTGTATTCAAATCTTTCGCATAGCAGTAATTTGGTTTAAGTAGTTGTTCTTCCTAGAAATTTTAACATTTCCAGCATAATGTGTGATTCACCTTTTGGTCATCGATTGACTCCTCAAATCAAATCAGCACCTGTGCTTCATCTCATGGCTTTTTGTGATTCTTGTTTAGTTTAATCCCTACCCTCCAACCTGGCCAGTAAAGGTTGGACCAGCCATACTCTGGCAAATAGAGCTCTTTGGGTCACTGGGATATGCAAGACCATCACCACAACCACATCATAGCAAGAATCATTGCTGGAGAATAAATTAGCATTGTTTAACCTTTGTACCTGCAACAAAAAAACAGTATTTCAAAAAGGACAGTTTTACTGTTGACACTACTATTACTTTAAACTACTGAAACTCTCTCAGCAATCTTCATTTACAAGATTATAAAAATATGTGAACCAAATATAATGCGATATTTATTGTTTAATATTTTATAAAGTTTTATCATTTTATAAATAATAAATTTTTAAAAAATCTTTTAATTTACAAAAACCTACAAAATTTTCAAAACCAACTCCATTGTAATATTTATTATTTACCATTTTATAGATAAAAAAAAAAAATTTTATTCATAATTTTATAAAACTTTTTAGTTTTCTCTGATTGGTCAAATATTTTACATGGTTACAATAAATACTTTGATTTCAATGGTCTGTGTTGTGAAATATTTTTAGCATGTTTGTAAATATTGTCTGTTATTGGGTAGAAATTAAGGTTTGCATGTTTTAATATTGTATATATGTGGGTATGTAATTGAAAATGATTATGAACAATGTACTGAAATGAAGTTGCATCTTTCTAGTGAGTAAAATGGTTTTGTCTATATGATAAAATTATAATAAATAAATAGTTATCGCTCTACTAACGGTATTGAGCCCTCTTTTTGAACGTTGGAATTTATATATTATTTTCGTTCTCATCACATCGGATATATATATATATATATATATATATATATAAATTAGGAATTTCTAGTATCATG